ATGTAGAGAATTGGTTAATAAGAAACCTTCTAATGAGGAAGTGTAGAAAATTTATAGTGTAATACTGTAATTTGCATTGGTGCACCCGTAACTTTTTATTAACTGTATGTTGGACACGAAACTTTCAATTTTGACATTTAGGGCCCTAAATAAAACAATCCTTGATGATGCAATCAAATCGATAACAGACGCCAATTGTCGGGCGACAATTAGGGTCCAAAATGCCAAAAATAAAAAGTTCATGGTCCAAATCCAACTAACAAAAGATTTCGGATACATTTTGTGCAAAAATCGCGGGGCATCCTGTAAACTCAGAGGAAGCTTTTTCTCTCTATCTTTCTCATTATACTAGGAATACACCATATATACAGAGGTGGTTCCAGGAAAGCCATGAGCCAGTTAGGCAAAAAATTATATCTTAGGCTAGTGATCAGGTTGACCCGAATATAAGGGATTGATTTACAGCAAATAAGGTAACTAAATATTCCTATAATCACTCTAATTACATAGGAAATACAGCTCATGCCAACACATCCAATCTATTAATTGACTTTTGTTAGCTATTGGGATTTTCAAATTTAGGGTCTCATTTGCCAAATTAATGTTCCGTTGCAACAAACCATAAATATGTCAAACAAATAAGTTATTCACTGAAAGATAGAAGATACCAGAAAATTTTAATGTTTTTTCTGTGTGTTTGTAGAGTAATGAACTCTTTGCTCTATTCTTGGATGAGACAATGACATACTCTTCTGCTGTATTCAAGGTCAGAACTTGTTGATTTAAATGTTTCATGTAAAGAAAGAGGCATGGCTTAGAATACTAACCTGATTAATATTTTCTGTGCTAAATCATTTCACAGGCAGAAGATGAGGACTTGAAGGTTGCCCAAATGAGAAAAATCTCTCTTCTGATTGACAAAGTAAGTCTTTTTGGCACAAATTCTGTCAACTTATGAATGCCTGTCTTCGCAAAACATTCCCTTTTATTCCCTCCTTCGTTGTAATCCAGGCCAGAGTTGAAAAGAATCATGAAGTTCTTGAGATTGGATGTGGTTGGGGAAGCTTAGCCATCGAACTTGTCAAACGAACCGGATGCAAGTACACCGGCATCACTCTTTCAGAGGAGCAACTGAAATTAGCACAAAAGAGAGTGAAAGATGCTGGTCTTCAGGTACCAAATTCAATCAGAGAAAACTTCAATAAATTAGCGCGCGCGCACGCACATACACATACTTATTACTATGTTCATAACTTTGATCAACTGTGCTATCAGGACAATATCAGATTTCTTCTCTGTGACTATCGCCAATTGCCTGCTGGATATAAATGTGACAGAATCATATCTTGGTAAGCCACCGTTGCCATCTTATTTACATCCAAACAATTATAACAATTGCTTACTAAATCTCATGATTCATTGTTGCTTTTTTGGTTTTTTTTTT